CATCTTGACAAATTAATTAATTAAGCAAGCTAGCTTTGGTACCAAAAAATGTTCATGTCATCATGGGCATTTGACAGATTTTAATCTCATAAGCACATCCTTAACTATCATTTACTATTACAGTAAAGTCATATATTGACTACATTGAAACATTTAAATGCTCACAACACACTCAAGTTCCACGTGTTTTATATCTACAGCTGTTCATCGCCAGCTACAAATGACGATACAGAACTAACAAAATAACTCAAAACCTCCATATTTCGCAATAAATCGTACATGAAACAACATCAACATAAAGCCTGATATTAAACAACTTATTCCAAAGTGATATACCTTGCATTTTCCGTCTTCGTTCTCTTCAATACTAAGATTTGGATGACCTTTCAAAAGCTTCTTTACTTCGTCCATGCTTCTTGCTGTTGTTGTGGCGTTGGTAACCAAGCCTGGGGAAATCCTAGAATTCCTTGGCAAGAGTTCCGAAATTCCTATAAAGTTGTTCCCAGAAATTTTCAAACGTAAATATTTAGGAGTCTTTTTATTTTGAAAATTTGGGTTTCATAAATGTCTGTAAAGTGGCCAAGTCTGCCTACATGCCTAATACTAAATATTTGGTGGCTAAAAAATTCGCAAAACATAATAAGATTGTGTAACATTCCTGTTTTTAAGGATAATAGGTGACAGTTGTGACACTTTTCTGAGTTTTCTCTTCCAGGAACCGGGAACGCTACGAAACCGGTCGTTTTACCAGTATTTGGTGTGATATATTTATGTGATGGTCAATACTGCCTTTGATACTGGTTATTGTGATGGCTGGTATGTATTGCTATTAAATTGCTTATTATTAAATAATCTTACATAACTTAAGTGTTTCATTCTTTGAAAGATATTATATTTCTAGTAATACGAATACTTTGGAAGGGTCTTGGAATTATAAGCACTCGATTTCAATTTTATTACTCTGCTACAATTTAAATACTAAAAGATCGACACATCAACTTTGCTGTATATAAACGCTAGCGCTTTGATTGATTGATTATTGTAAGATTTTTATGCATGGAAATTAAATGGGAACATTAAAATATATATAATCACGCGCGGTACTAAATCAGTCAAAAACACAAGTGCTACGTATTAAAGGTTGTGTAAACTAAAGAGCGGATACCTAAACCTGTACTTTATATGTATCCTTTTTTATTTCACAACACGTACTAGAGACGTAGAATTCTCCTGGACAACGTGGACAAAAATAAGATAGTTTGTCTGATAGTACCACCTGTCGGAGTCACCTGCCAAGACAAACTATCTGCATAGTTCGTCTACACAAACGAATTTCTTAGTTCATTTATTTTGACAGATGAACCGTCTGTGTTCAAATTTTCTAGGTATCGAAAGGCTGTGAAGTTTTTTAATCTCAGAGACCCAAATAAACATGCCAATTCCGTCAAACTAATAAGCATTTGCTACTACTAATTAACCATCGCTCCGTATAAACGGCAAAAGAAGATGTCGTGACCAGCGGATCCGGTATAGTGTAAACAGGGCCTATAAACTATCAGAAACAGTTTGTTGCTAGCTTACTGGAGTGGACCTAAAGTAGTCGGTGGATTTTCGCAACGAAATCGTAAGACATAGGAGAGGTTAAGATACCCCGGTTTCGGTGTACGAGTAGTGTCATCTTGTTTCACTGATGTCTGTAATTCGATCATACCTTTTCTGTTTTCTTGCAATAGACAATGATATAATGCGAGTAAAGGTACAGACATCGACGAAAATATTGCTAACCAAAATCATGCTACCCGTACACGTACACCGAAACCGGGGTATCTTAACCTCTCTATAACTGGAAAACGGTCGTTCCCGACTATTTAATATGTAGTCGTTTTGTCTTAATAAGGATACTCGATTGATATGCTTGATTGATGCGTTAACACGGGGGAGGATTTGCCCATTATCATCTACCGGTCAGGACCCAATCAGTTATGAAATTCATAGATCCGTTTATAAATTATAGGTAGTAGCGCCAGTAACATAATCCGCCTGATTCTTGCCTGTAATGTTACTACTAAAATTGAAAATTTTATGTGAACTGTTTCTGTGTTCTGTTGCTTAATTTGTTGATAATTCTCGCTGCACATACAGCGACATTGAAATGTTAATTTCTATTTTCATGTTAATAACTTTACAAAAATAACCTTTATAATAAATTTACAAAAATAACCTTTCAATAACCGTCCCACCTACTGTATCAATGTCACCGATAATATGATGATCTGGAAACTATAAACAGAAGTTATGTTTTTGTTTTGTTATGTTTTTGTTTGAGTTAACTCAACTCATTGTATTTTCTCATGATTACCAAATACCAGATGATCTTGATACGCGGAAAAGTACTGGCACTAGTTGTCAAATAGAAACCATTTTATGATTAAAACAACTGAATATCTCCTGTAATATACTTTATTTCGATCCCATATTTTTGTCAGAGCTATAGTTCTCATAAGCAAAGATAATTACAAACATTCAACTAGTTTCATAAAGAATAATGAAAGATATAATTGACTGAATACGTCAAATTGGATTTCTATTCGGACAACCCTTTCTGAGCGCTAATTGGCTAAAATACGAACACGAGATCACCTGGTAAGTAATTTCCAATACTGAAGAACGGAGTTCAATATCAAACAAAGGTCTTTCATTTTGTGGCTTTGAAGTTTGCCGGGCTTCTGGACCATCATATCTTGACCAAACTACTGTATGTACTGATTGTCAATCCCATATTCTACGTTTTATACATTGATTGAAATTGGTAGACAAGGGAACAAGGCAATTTTAGCTGCAAAAGCCTTGCCATAGCCTTGGGTGTATTCTTACTATAGTTTTAAAATTTTGCTAATTGATGATTCCCCTTATTACGTTTTCGTAGCGCTTTGCATTGTGGTTATAGTGGTATCACTGATAAAGATAGCGGCCTCGAATGAAAATCTTGAATGCTTTAGCGAAATTTTGCTGTTGTCTATCGCGCACCTGACCCTAGCTTTTTTAAAAGTTCTTGCACGGGTCAGGACAAAAAATAAGCCATCTTGAATATCAGATCAACCACTATAACCACAATGCAAAGCGCTACGAAAACGTAATAAGGGGAATCTCGTATTTCAGCCTCAATATTCTTCATACAAACGAGGTTCTTATGACTATGAAGTTTAATTTTGCAACCAGATTAGTCCCTAGTCCTCTGTGCACGCGTTTTCCCCGTGACGTAAGAATAGACAGAATAGAAAAGACGACGCGACCTCAAAGACGACGTGAAAATGGCGTCAAAATGGCGTGGCACATCCATAAATGGACAGAACACGCCATTTTCACGTCGTCTTTGAGGTCGCGTCGTCTTTTCTAAATCTGTCTATTATTAATGAGAACGCGTACTAAGAGGCCTTGGGACTAGGCTGCGCGTCACCACCATGCATAAATGGTTAATATTTATACACAGGTAATGAAAATGAAGATTGGACAGATAGCCCTGCAGTAAGGGTTACAAATGAACCAACAGGTTGGTAAATAATGTTGACAGTATAAGCCCGCATCACAGAATAAAGACATACAGAAGTGTAACTTCCATTACAAAACCGTAAGGCGCTTTTTTACCGAAATAGCTGGCGGCCATGTTCTTAGCAAGTTCCCATAAAGAGAAGCATTCACCCCCCTGGAATATTACATTTTCAATATGTTTTCAAGGGGGTGACTGCCTCTCTTTAGGGCACTTCCTAAGAACATGGCTGACTGAAAAAATCCCTTACGCACTTTTAATAAGAAGATACACTTCTGTATGTCTTTATTCTGTGCCCGCATCGAGATACACCAGGCTGACGTTTAGGTAATTAAACACAGGGTGCGCGTTAATTCAGGATTTTTAGTCAAACCTGACTAGCACGTGGATGATTATTACGCTGGTACGCTCGTACTTGCGCTGGTACAAACTTAAGAAGATGTACTTATATATGCATAAAGCACAGTTTTCTAAAAGGTATACAGCCAATTCAAAAAGGTTGTCCTTTTTAAACTCTAAACCTTACATACATTCTAAGCACACAAAGCTTAATGGGCGGAGCACAAGTTTCAATCTTATTAGTTGAATATTGCACCTATTTGTGAATGAATTGTTCTCGTAAGGAGATATTTAGTTATTCACCATTTCTCTAAAAAATGGGCTCCATATATATGATATATGATTTCCAAACTGATTAAATTATGCTCCCATTATGCTTTGCACGCTTAGAGTTTTAGGTTTAAAGTTTAGAGTTTGCAAAAGACAACCTTTTTTGAATTGGCTGTGTATTCATTCAATAACCTGTGCAAACACTGCATAATTGACTTGGGCATTCTTCAGCGGTGCCATCTTAATTGTTTCATCAACTAAATTACGGTTTTGATTACTTTGGCAAGTTTGCTGGTCTGGTATGGTACCAGCAAAATGTACCTATACGTCGGACTTGGCTGAAAACAAATTAGTACCAGACCGTAATATTGGTGCACCTCCGGTACGTAGGTACTGTACAGCAACTATCGCACTCTGCCAAATATCTCACAACAATATCTTCTTAAATAACTCATACTTTTTTGAGGTGGAAAGCAAATTTGGGAGCTTTGAAATAGTTAATATCACTTGCGTATTGTTTACAATACATTTTTTTAACTGTACACCAGTCAACTGTTGATTTAATTTTAAACAAGAACGCTTCCATGTCAGTTGCAAAAGTAGTTATTCTGCTATGTTCACTGTAATACACTATTTCATTATGTAGAATCCTTTTACTTCTCAGTTTCTGCACATGGTGATCAATCTGGCGTTGCCGAAGGCGAAGACACGCCGAATATGGGGCTATACAATAATGGTATATTTTTCTAATTTTACAAAAAAAATATTTGTGCCACTAGGCGCTACATATGTTAAATATATATAGGCCTTTTTTGAAGGAGATTATACATTGACTTGCATGTGTTGTTTTACATGCATGCATGACCCTATGTCACTTAAATTGAATACAAAGAAACCCGCATGATTATAACCAGTGTCGTAGCCAAGGGGTGGGCGACCGCCCCTCCCCCAATCGAAAAAAAATCATTATCTGAAAAAGGCTAAATCCGTAGAGAAATTGGGGGGGGAGGGGGGTGTACACGTTATATCCTCCTCGAAGCTGAAACTGATTAAATACGTCTCGACTGAGGAATACGATTTGTAAAATCTCATTAAAGCAGTTGTAGATATGGTTCCAAGAAGAATATATTTAGTTTAGATTTACATGTATGCATTTAATATATCATAGCATGAATATTCTTCTCAGACTTATTCTGTATCGTATAAAAAAGCAACGCAATTTTGAGAATGCGGAAATGCTGTCTCATAGAACCTAGAATGATTTAAATGCAACATTTCTGATCAAAATCACATTGGGATTTTCTTCCCCCAGCATCACAGAGGGGAAATAAGGTGACGCTGACCGGCTCCTCCTGTTTTTCAAGGTGACTTTTCCAATTTATTTAATTCCGAGTAGAAAATTAGAAATGTCTGGGAAAATTTATGTCTTCGATGTACTTTATAATCTTCGGAATTCTGCAAGATTTCACCCCCAAAATGCTTGCAATCGCATTTCAGGGACTCTAGATTTCAAAATTTTCCCGGACCACCCTAGATGGTCTTGCGCCTTCGGCGTTCGCTTCGCCCCCCCCAAAAAAATGAAGGTCTGGCTACGCCACTGTGTATGTCGCAGAAATACAGTTATTGTAAGTAAAGTTCCTTGTCTTAAAGGACGTTATGAAGCAATGTATTTCATTAAAAAAACGGCCAACTCTCATCATGTACGAAATGCCATTTCAGACCCCGACTTTTATAAAGGTCTCATCCACATCCCCAATCTCACTCTTAACTTCTCTGCAAAGTTGAGAGGTCTGGCATGCTATCACCTTTGGACTTGCCAGTTTTTTTGAAAGCCTGAACTTGTGCACCATGTGTTTGCAACTTTATAATAACTTTTTGATTTTTTAACATACAGTATAGAGCTTAGAATTACTGTATCATTCATACCTTTTCAATTTCACAATCTTTATTTTTAACTCCATTTTTTCCTGTTTGTCCATTCTTTGAGATATTGCGTTCATGAAATCACGAACTTCCAACTTACAAGCTCAATAACATACATAAATATACATTTCATGTCTTTGATAATAAAACTTTGCCTTTATTTAACTTTTGTTAAGTGTTTATAACAAACAGTTCCATGTGTGCTGCTAAGATCATAAAGATAAAACCGTCCAAGTAAAGCCCGATCCCTGTCTGTTTCCCCTCAGTATTGAAGCAGTGCATGATATTTTTCTATTCAAGTTTTTTTTCAAAGTCCTTTCTTTTCAGCCATGTTCGATTCAGGATTTTAGGCTATATACTTTGTGTTACATTGAGTTATATCAACACGGCCCTTAGCCAATCAGCGTTCAGAATTTACAAATGCTATATTATAATCATTATTAACTTCTTATCATGAACCGAACGCGGCTCTGTACAGAGAAATATCGGACTACAGACCGAGCCCGTATTTTTATACAAACCTCGCCCTATACCGTGTAGGGTGAGGTTTGTATAAAAAGACTGAGGTCCGATATTTCTCTGTACAGACCTCACGTTTGCGGGAACGGCAAACGGCATATAGTCGAATTTTGTTGGCAGAATTTTTCCTTACTCTTCTTCGCTTCATCTATTCTTCTCGCTCTTACCTCAAAAGAATCATCATACATTACAGTCTTAAAATAGCAAGTTGATTTCCCATTTATTACCTTGTAGCGTAAATTCTTTCTTCCCCTGGTGTTTGCAATTCAACGTTTGAACGCGAAGATTAAACTCCCTAGTTGGCCCTCATAACGGGAGAAAATTGAAGAAAAAATTTTGAAACTAGAAAAAATCAGAAAAGTTTCACATCGTGTACGTCATACTTAGTCAAAAACTTTACATTATCTGTCTGAGTCAGATAAACAATAAGCACTTGACGCGCAGACGTATAAGCAGCCACTGCGCATCTAAATGGTGCGTTTGATAAGAAAAAGACGTCAAAATGATAAGAAAAAGGACAAAAGCAAAAATGATGTACAAAATTTTAAAAATATAAAAATGATGTAACAATTAACTATAAACGTCGGGATAATTTGTTTACCACAACTTTAATATCTATCGAGGAATAAATAGCGGGTAGAGTAGCCAATCAAATTACAGCATTTGCAATAGTATACTAGCAGGATTATGTTACTTATTTCTGTTATTTGAAAATATATCTGATATTTTGTGACTATAGCTTTATAGTTTAGTTTTACTCTTCAGTGTACGCCCCATGTGAAAATCAGCTTCGGTTGACGGCGTTAACGTGGCTAAATATAATTTTTCTATCTATCTGGTTCCACATTGTAGCTTCAAGTGAAACATAAATAATGATTGAAAAGTTCAATACTTTGACATGCAGATTGTAATGCTTTCAGTCCCAGCTACAGTTATGATTCAATTGCGTTTTATCCCGACGCAAAACGCGTCATTTGGATGCGCAGTGGAAAATCTAAAAGTTTCAGTAAGAGAACGTTGCTTGCCGCAATATGTCACGTCACTATAATGTAATGAGAAATGCAATATATCTTCATCGACATTGGAAAAACTTATTTTTATCGACTGTTTGAGACTTTTCACTTTAGAATTTACCGGATATGATGGCCATTAGATGAATTGCGAATTTGTTTTCTGTTTGAGATTTTTCCTTTAATTGAAACATCTAATGACATCATATCCGGTATTCTAGAAAGACAATAATGTATTACATTTCTTCTTACACTCAAATATTACACATGTTCAAAATCATATTTAACGCAAAATATCAAAAAATAAGGATCAAGGTGTTTGTCGATTTTGGCTACTTTTTCGAAAAAATTTTACAATTTAAATTAGCCAACCATATTGCTTTATTTTGCTTACATGATAATACTGAATACCTAATGAAGTATATTGATCCAGTCCTAGGACTGGATCAAAATTAATTCAGTCCTTGGGCTGGGTCAAAATTAATTAAATAGTGATTTATTCGTACGAGATGTCATTTCAAATCCTCCAATACACCCTTTCGATAATTACGTCACAAATACACTGTTTTCAACTTAGAACCACCTTAAATGGAAAGGATTCCAAGTTTTATTCTCATGGGTTATGCACAGGGAAGCAGAACAACCTTCTTCAACACATGCATAAAAAATTTTGGATTTTGACCAATAAATATGAAAATAAGCTTTAACACGAAAACGAGGCTCCACATCATGACCTGGAGCCTCGTTTTCGTGTTAAAGCTTATTTCCACATTAATTGGTCAAATAAAGAATTATTTTTCATGCATGTGTTGAAGAACGATGTTCTGCTTCTCTGTGCATAGCCCATGAGAAAAAAACTTGAAATCCTTTCCATTTAAGGTGGTCCTAAATTGAAAACAGTGTAGTTGTGACGTAATTATCGAAAGAGAGCATTCGGATTGGATTAGATTTCAAGTCCTCGCAGTTTGATCCAGTCCTTGGCTTTGCTTCGGGCTTGATCAAATTGCGCGGACTTGAAATCTAGTCTAGTCCTCGTAGTCGGATTTGAAATATTACTTCAGAATTCATAACTGTACTGTTACGAAAACGTAAAAGGCTGACCTTTACGTTCTAAGAATGAAAAGGCACTTGTTGGCCTTTTTCAACTTGTTATACACATGTGTAGTAAACCTAGCTGCCACCCTCCTGAAGTGTGACTCCTAAACTCACAAGTAGTGGCTCTTGCAGAATTTCCAACACTAAGGGGAACAATTCAGTGATACCTTTTTCGAACAACAAGTTCTTTGCATTTCCTTGGATTGCTTAATTTGCATACAATTACGACTGAACAAATCAAAAAAAAAAGTTTCACCATCTCATCCGAATAATCTACTTCCTTTCAGACAGGAGAAATAATATTAGCATCATCTGCATATTTAAATAGTCACACGTTGTTACCAACTGAATCTCAAGATCATTTAAAAAGATGTTAAATGTAATCGTGGACCACTCACACTACCCTGAGTTGTTCCTTTATTAACATGTTTCCAGTCTCCAATGAAACATCATAGCTGCCGAGACAATAAAAAGGTTTTACTTTGTTTCGTTAATGAGGTTACGGTTGATTTTCCATGTCTGTTAAATATTTTTATTGAACATCATTCATCAATTGAACGTCATTTATCATTTTCCCTCGTGTTTTAGCAATGAGGTAAATTAGTCATTAAGGCGGTTTTCCACTAGGCGGAATTTTTCGACCGAATCGAAATTTCTCTTTGTTTCATGAGCTCTCGAGCAGAACTAATTATAAAAACACAAAGAGAAATTTCGTTTCGGTCGAAAAATTCCGCCTCGTGAAATCAGGCTTTTAATCGTCCCTCGCGAAACAAAGGATTTCGAGGTATCTATGATATTATTCATGTTTAATCTCTGGAAATTCTGGCAAAAAATTAAAGGCTAACCCATTATTGTTGGTACCGACTATATTCGATTAATAATTTATGATTACTGATTCGAAATTTCGTGTAAATCTGCCTTTTGGATGGGTCGTTTATTATAATCTAAAGTATAATTCTTTTTAAATCTGCTGTAAAATGAAAGTTTTGAGAAGTTGTTAATTTGTTGTTTCCATTTCGAGATATAGTTGTTTTGAGTATATTATTGATTTTTTCCAGATCTGCTGGTTCAGTTAGAGTGGGAAAGTGTTTTTCAGGAAGTTTACGCGACGTTCGAGTAAAAAGAGTCTTTGCCTTTCAAATATAGTTCTTTCGAGCTAACTATACATGCTACTATTGCTATCATGCAATGAGTCAGGAAGTTTATATATATTAATAATATAACTTAGTGTTCTTTTAATTATGGGGAATACTAGTGGAATTTTCCAAGTTCCCCTCGACTTGCAACGTTGCTGCATGGCTTTCCTATTTACTCATGGGTAGAATTTGCAGAATTTTAAATGGGAATAAATGGGGAGAAAGTGAAGCTAACCCTTTAACGTTTTGTCGATCTTAGCCCTTCTCATTGTTGAAAAAAAGGACAAAAAATTCAAGGCGAACCCATTAACGTTTCGCCCAATTTATCTCTTTTTTATTATTGAAAAAGGAGCTAAAAATGGCCGAAAACTAACTTTTTTCCATTTTTGCCACTTTTTCATTTTTGAAAAATGGGCTAGAAATAGGAAAAAAGAAAGGTTCAGTTCTTGCAAGTTTATGTTCTAAATACTTTTTATTTGCTAAACGGAGATAGAATATAGCCGCTCGAATCCATGGAAACCCAGGGATAACTATACAGTTAAAATATAACAATAAAATAAAATATCTTCACGGGAAACTTTCTTACACCTCTCGCAGGAAATTTTTGTCATTTCATATACTGGAATGTCGCAGTATATATATCTTTTTTTTTCATTATTGGTATCTTGTCAATGTGTCTATAAACATTTGCTTTTTTCGTTCTGTAAAGCATCTTTTAACTGCCGTTCAGGGGTTGAGCAGCTTTACTTTTAGCCTGCGAACAGGCCTTCCTTTGGCTACTTTCGAGATTTGAAAATATGGTTATTAAAAATGGGCAAAAAAGTAAAGGTGTTGCCTTTTACCTTTTACTTTTAGCCATTTTTCAAAATCCTCAAAATTAACCAAAAAATGAGATAAAGACATAAAGTACAGGCTAATCCATTAACGTTTGATCAATTATTGGACTGTCAAAAACCTCAAAAAAATGGCCAATATTATTACAGTGTCAACCAAATTTCCGAAATATTATAACGAATTAATGAAACGAAAAATACATTTTTCTAACTAATCTGTATTTTAAAATGACATTAATATCTCTGACATATACATATACATTAGCGTACGAGGCGGGGCATAGTCGAATATGCAAGAAATATGTATGATTTCGAAAAATTTTAAGACCCTCAAAAATATATCCAACCACCTCCCTCTCCCCGTCTCTCAGCCGTCTACTTAGCAGGAAAATATTTTTTTACAAAAGTCGGGAAAATTTCTTTCTGCCCCCTCCCCCGCCCCCAAGTTTTCCACGCCATACGCCTATATGGATACATACATTTCTTACATAGAAATTTAACCTGTTCAGTGATCAGGTGATGATAATCCATGTATATGTTATACAATTATTGGTTGCATGCAGTTACAATGAATATTATCAGTGCTTTATACGTAGACTTATTATTAGCATGACAAAATTACTGGACGCTGATTGGTTGAGAGGAGTACAATTATTTCATTAATTGTACTTCAGTACAATTAATGAGTTTCCCAAAACAAACAAAATGGCGGAAAAGTATTTAAAAACAAATGAAATTGCCCTAGAGGAATTTAAAGCAAAATAACTTAATGAAAATACGAACAAAAACACCAAATTTTGGTTCAAAGTCAGGCAGGACTGGGCTTTGGTGAGAGAATATGATGTTGACATTGAGAATTATCCAATTTTGTCATCCTTATAATAAACACCAAACATCACTCGTATTATTAATCCCTAATTCTACTCGCCATCGCATGATTACCTATACTTAAATACAATGATACACTTATCTTGGTGCAGCATTTCGTTCTTAAACGACTTATACGCTAAATAACTAAGATGTAAAATGTAGGAGTACATAAATTGACAATGAATGTCCTTCCTTATTATTTGTTATCTCTTAGACACAATCGACGCTTCCAAAATTTGCTTCAGTGCACACGATACAATAGCTTGAAATCGAAGCGGAGAATGTAATCATTCTAAAATGAGTAACTTTCATTTCGGAAACTATCTCTTGCCATCAGCTTTCCTGTTGAAATCATGTCTTTAACTGAATTATAGAGCATCCATCCAACTTTACCTGTAATAATCAATAACATTTCAAGGTGTTAGTCTTTACTTTTTCTAGATTTTGCCCACTTTTGTCGTTCTTTTATTAAAACTGGCCAAAATCGATTGCTTATTCGGTGATAGTATAAAAAGGTTGACACCTTAAATTTTGGCCGATGTTCGACGTTTTCGAAGTAAGGTGTCAAAAACGACCAAAAGATAAGCCTAACCCATAACTTTTTTTTAACACAATGTAAAGGCTATCCCACTTCATGTTCTCTATTTTTTGTGACTTTTTCAAAAACTCAAAAAGTGGCCCAAAAATGTCAAAATTCTTGAGTTAATTGTGGTATTCTAATCTAATTTTTTTGCCAAAAGTACACTGGATTAATAATTTTTATTATCTTACTCTTGTAACTCACATTTCAGTTCAGTTGATGAAGTTCTCACAAATATATTCATCGTCGATATTCTCACAAACGTCTAACAAACGGGAGGATCGGATCGAATCACATGACGACCGTCTCTGGGCGCAAGGTCTAAACAAACATTTAAAAATCGACCTGAAGCACATGAAGAAAACACGAACAAAAACAGAAATTATTGCAAAGCATACAAGAAGCAAAACAATTGCTGGAAATAGTCCTAACATAACAATCTCTAGCCATTGGAAAACGTTCAAAACTGTTAATAAAGAACCCTTGATATTTTGTTCTGAACCAACGAAAACAGACTTAAACTGGTTGATCAAGCCTAAAATGACCAAAAACAACAAAGAAAGAGACTCCAAATTGTTTGCTAACGAATTTTGAAATGGTTTAACCTGGAGATGACAGCAAAGCACGGAAACACAAGCAAGTGTCATGCAGAACAATCTGATAGATGGTTCAGTTACGACACAGAAGATTAAAACCAAAATAAATCGACGAGCAATCAAGACACTCTGCCAATATAAAACCACTCGTTTGCTTGCATCTTTCGGATCTCTGTAAGAAGCCAAGAGCATCTCTTTTAATTCGTTTAAATTTTGGTTATCTTCTACATTCGCTACTGGAGATGGACAAACAAGGCGGAAAATCCATAGCAGCAAGAATGGAAGGGGACAGATAACGGCTAGAAGAAACTGTTGAATTGTTATTTTATCATGGTGAAGTTTGAACGAAATCCAAGCAAGCACAAATATGAAAGGAACCACAAAGATAGCATTAAAAATATATGCTGCATATTGCCACCATTGGTAGCATAAGACATTTCCATTGTAGAACCATCGAGCTTCACGTGCAACAAAAACACAGCGAATGAGCGAAATACTGACCGTAGCCAAGGTTACGTAGCCGAGGAATACAGTTTTAATACTGGCTTGGAGATATGGAGAAATAGCAGGACGAAGAGCGCCTCTCATACGACTGAAGAAGAAATGCAAGGCATAGATAAAGAAAATAGCAACTAAAGTTCCAAAGACAGGAGCAACTTTAAAACCCAGCTTTGTCTCTGGAGTGAGACCTGGAAAAGGACACAGAAAACCTTGTTTTTTAAAACTTGGTTGGAAATTGAAGAAGCCCAGAACAGGTGCAAGGAATTGGGAGTCGAAAAATTCTGTTAGAGAAGTCGAGGAAAGAAGCAATTGTGCTATTTGATAGAAGTAGAAGATAATCTCCTCAAACCGGGAAAATTGTCTTTTGTCTTGTTTGAGTTGTTCTGGTGAAGACAACGGTATGTTTTCCTGTCCGGTCTCTTCGTCCACTGACAGGGAGCGAATTATGTCATGATTGGCTTGAATGTTAGCTGTACGACTGCCTGCAAACCGTTTAAACCAAAATATCTGTTTTAAAGAATACGTTACGAACGGAGGATTGAAAACAAGAAGAACAGCCATAGAAAAGACAAGTAATAGAAACAGAATCCAAAACCAATGATCGTGGCAGTCTTTGACTGGTGTACAGTACGTTGACCACAGCGCTTCTGTATAGCCTTGAGAACACTCTCCACACATAACTCCTGTACGTTTTCCTTGGCAATCATTGTATTTACTACTGTTAGCTGGCGGTGACTTGCAGTAACCGAACGGACAAATTGTAAAGGCTAGTTTAGGAGGAGCCGGACTAATTTGGTATCCCCAAAAGTTGGACTTTGACCTGACGGCAGGAACACAGTCCGCTCCACGCGGACATGTTGTGCATTCGAAACTATCGTCTATTTTTAGTCCTCTTGCTATTCCTCTTTGCAGAGAGTAGAAATTGTAGTCACAGGCCTTACAGGACAAAGTAAAAGATTCAATTTGCAAATAACTGTCGGGGTAACGAAAACTTGCCTTTTCAATATCATGACCAACTGGGCAAGTACTAATCGAGGCGTTGTCAAATGATATTATACCTTTGGATACCACAATGGGTGGTTCGTCCGATTTTGTGTCCAAGGTGATTGTTGTGTTGTAAATAGATAGCGTACAAGAGTTGTATAACCTTAGGAACGAAGTGACCATGAATCCCTTTGTATTATTAATTAACACTTTTTGAATTGTTTGTTTAAACACCGAATTGCGTATAAACAGTTTGAGTGACCCACGCCCAGAGCTAAGAATCTGACCGCCTTGAAAAAGTGCAAAATTATTGAAAAACGTACACTTCGTTAATGTCACTTCGCCGTCATTCAATAACAAAACACTTCCCATTGACGCTACATTTTCTTGGAATAATACCCTTTTAATAGAAGCTTTAATCGTTGACGTTTGGTCGTTAGAATTTATTCCCAGAGCTCCAGGAGTACCTCTCATATACTTGTTTCGGACAAATGCAGAATCGAATATTCTTAGACTTGAAGTTCCACTGAACTCCACCACAAGTGCTGCACACAAATTGTTCACAAACGTCGTGTTCTTTAAGAAAATCATTGAATTAATTATACTGAGGACCATTATCGCTTTCCCGCAAGTACCAGTTGCAATACTATTTGAATCGAAGATTGAATGTTTGCACGTTAGTGCAGTGCGTCCTTCTACATTTACTGTTCCAATTAAGCCATCATTTTCTCGAAATATACAGGTATTTAGAGTTACAAAATTTAACGTGGATTGACTAAGTGAAAGGCAAATGCAGCTACTATCCTTCGCCAAGTTCTCAATGAAATGAGTATTTTTAAATCTGGCATTGACTATTGTATTTCGAGCCCGAAGAAATACAACACCGTAAGCATTTGGCAGAGTTGCGTGAAGTTTGTTCTGAACAAACACAACGTTAGTGATATAAAGATTTAATCTAGACTCTCTGCGACGGGCTATTGCATGAATAATTCCTCCAAACGCACTGTTTTCTAGGAAATAATCATCGTAAAAGCTGACTGTAGCAGCATTATTCGTAAGGATCAACAGCGCGCCGCCATAATATCTAGCACTATTTCGTAGAAATGAACTATCACGGACAGTTACCAATAAGTGTTCAGCGAATACGCATATTGCGCCACCGCTCCACCTTGACACGCTATATGAAAACGAAGAACTGATTATGCGTAGATCAACGAAAAAATGTTTGCTACGATTCCACGATTGTAAATATGCGTTCCGTAGTGATCGAATAAAAACTGCGCCACCTGAATTGGAACTGGAAATATTCTGAACGGTCGAGTTTTGAATGGTTAGCACCAAATTTGGCACAACAATTGAAACGACACCGCCGGTACCATTGTTGTTTCCATTAAGAAAAGAAGAATCCTTGATTGATAAGTAACATGAATCACTTTGATTTACGTCAATTACGCCACCTCCACGAGTGACTGAATAGAATCCGTCCACCTGAATGTTTGAGATGTTGATTTGCGCTGAGTACCCGGTCACAGTTAGAAAAGTAGAAGATGTTTTATAAACAAACCCGTACTCCAATCTTATAAATACCCAAGCAGATAGGAGACGAAATAAGCCATCATATTCTTCAATACTTGGACTCGTATGGCTATTTTCTTCCATTCTAAATTGATTTAGTAAAACGTTTGTTGTTCCTACTTGGTTTACAACTACAATCATTCCATATTTCTTAAAAGTGTTCTGCTCAAAACTGCAGTTCCTTAGTTGAATGTTGATTAAATTTTGTGTGGAATTTAATGAAAGAATAGACGGTGTGTTCGAAGAGAAATTACCATTTTGATAGAAAAGCGTATTCGTTATGTTAACAAAAATCGTGCTGCTCTTACTAGGCTTTATTGTCATGCACGCTGCATTTTGTTGGAAAACAACATTGTTCAGCGATAAATCGAACCGAGGCAGATTTAACACTTCAATATCTAAGCTTACAGGTTTTGTTTCCGCAAATACAGTATCATTGACTGCCACCAAAGCATCGAAAAGGCGTAGAGACGTATTCGGAAAAGTCAGACCGGAAAAGCCAATTCGTACACCGTCTTTGAATTTAGTTCCGTCGACCAACCACGGGTTGCTATGGAGACACGAGATATAAGCACGCGATCTTATACTGACGAATGATACGCTCTTAGTAAGACGAATTCCCGGATTTCCTGGGTCTAGAGCTTCGCAGGTGTAAGGATTTTTGGATGTAGCTGACCCACCCAGGTAGATATATGAGCCAGTTGACACTTGTTGTATGCCATAAGATATCGTACGACACGGAGAATTTATTTTTCCACATGTTTTCCTGTCATTACCATTGAGGCGGGATACGTAAATTCCTTGTTCTGACAGTACAAAAGACGCTAGGAAAAATAAACATAACTAAAATTGAGTACAGTAGAATCTACTAGCAGACGCGCAGTACAATGGACTGCACCTCCATAGACAAAGGCGGCGCAGTAGGCGGTTACAGCCCCCATAAATCTGAGAATTTGGGGGCTAAGCCCAAATCGATCAGAGTAAGATCAGAGTCATATGCAGATTCTTCATCGCTGCATAAAAGGCAAAGTGAACAAAATTACCAACATTTTGGTCAATAAAATATTTCTTATGTGAATTTAAACAAGGGGGCTTTAAATTAGCACCCGTCAGAGTTTTTGCAGTATGGGAGGGGGCTTAGCCACTCTAAAAATAAATCGTATATGTTTTGGTTAAAAAGCGTGAGTTTTCTCATATGCTGTGTTCGACTATGCTAATTTACCGGCGATTTTAGATCCCGCCAAATCATACAAACTGATCAAAACCAATTATGAAGCAATTTTTGGCAGCATTTTTGTTGTCAAAATTCTTCAATTCGGTGCCAGAAAGTGCAGGAAATAGCATCTTTGCCTGTTGTATTTGCACTGAGCTGAAAACTACGGTACCCAAACTTTCACTTAAAATCTTTCATATATTCAGGGGCGCCGGAAGCAACGTGAAGCCATTTAAAAAGGCCACTTACTTCTGAGCCCTCTGGGGTAACTACTTCATCTTGCACGGATATTTTAGATCCGTGCACCACTATCCTTATAGACAATGTTTTATTCTGTTCAAATAACCCACAATATGAGCGGGTGAGGGGGCACGCAGTCGAGGGTGAAGGACCGAAAATATCCATATAAGATGATGTACTAACCAAGGTTTTGCTGTACGGATACTCGATTACTTGTAGCCAATAGAGTTGGACAAATTTCGGCATTGATTGGAATAATTATATTCGTTGCCCGACGCCAAAGACTAAAATGTATTGTATATAAAACAACATGACAGCTTGTCAATGATTTACGACGGCTTTCTTTTTGACGTTTTTTCATATAGTTGGAAACCTTGGTAATTTTTCTGAGAGGAATTTCAGATTCAAATTTGAGCTAAATTGTTTGAAAACAGTTCTCAATTTCAGTTCAAATGAATAACGCACGACTTCCGGGAGTGACAGGGGGTGGACATTAAAAAGTGCCCCCCCCCCATAAAAAAGATATATTCTATTGTTTGTCATCATAATTAAAGAAGGTCTTAACAAAAGTTATGTTTTTGAACTTCCTTGTTTAGTTTTGTGTGGTGTGAATACAAATCATGATTTCATGTCAAGGATTAGAGAGTTTTTACTCAAAATTCAAGATGGCGGATTTGAATAAAAAAATACTAATATCGTTAAATAATTTCTATATTATGCGATTTGACTTTGCATTAGTCATCCAGAAATGAACTGCAGATGTGATGCAGAAAATTTTTTCAAGTTTTCACTCGTGTATGCATGTGATAGAACTTTTAGACAGATTCGCACATCGAAAAACAAAATCAAACTTTTCCGACTGTTGGCTTACAAACCCAGGTAGCTGATAAAAGCAGCGTTTGCATCAAATTGTGTGGAAACGGTTTAATGAAAGATTACAACATAGCTTTAACAGTATTTCATAACTTTGTAATAGTGGTTTGGTGAGCGCACCTTCGTTATAAAAATACTTACCTTACTGCTCTATATTCTAGCTTTTCAGTAATTCAGTATCCTGACGATACGACTGCGCACATGAAATAATTACATTAGCTATTGGAGCATTATGCCATTCCACTTTTGTGACTAAGTTAGGAATATCAGAACATCGTAGCGCGAAGAATTTGATAATTGTAGCGCATTACTGATTCAAGTCCGCCATCTTGAATTTTGAGTAAAAACTCTCTAAACGTATCTATTTTTCTAATCCTTGACTTGAAATTGACGATGAGTTTTTAAAAAGCGAAGAAAGTTTAATTTGCTTTTCTGCAAAAATAATTTGTAGAAATATTTATCAGTATAACTTATAGCCCTAGCATTTATCCGGCGCATTATTTGAAAGCGGAAGCGTAAATTATACCGGAAATTTTGAGCCGCATATTTATCGTGAGATGGCGAAATCCCAAGCGAAATTCTAACTTCAAAATTTTATACTTCTGTGGAATATGAGTTTATGGTTTATGTTCTCAAGGAAGACTTTATAATTATATCTTTGGATATTTAAAAAATAATTAAGTTTTGAAATCAACGTTTTAGCGAATTGAGAGTAAACTTAAAATTCTGAAATAAAAGTGGATTTGCGACCGAATGACAAATAATCTATTTAATGTTTGATATCTGGCTTGTTTTTAACCCCACTTATTCATGACTTATTTGCACGAATACTGTTTATTCATGAAACTTATGTTACGATGTGCCAGGGAATGTGTGTTAATTGAGACAATTTAACCGCGCTCCCATTATTTTTCCACTGATCTCTATTCCCAACTGAAGCTATGAGGGACGAGGCAGAATTAGATATTCGTCCCCTCCCACACTCCAAAAACTGGGGGGACGCGTCCCTCCATCCCCCCAGGATTGACGTCCATGTTTTCCTGAACATGTTGATCACTTTTTGTCGGGGTATTTCGAATTTCATATGCGCATTTATAAGCTCATTCACAACAATAGACGACTCGGTTCGGTGCTTCTGACGACAACTTGTAGTTGTTCTATAAAATACTTCACTAAAAGAAGTAAATAGGGCATACGGCTCTCAAAGCAGAATTGGATGAACTTATTAGGGAAATGTCCGCCGATCTTGCTTACTTCTATAAATATTTTGATCAAAAGGTATGAAATGTCCGCCGTTCGCATTTACCACAAATTCATTAATATTCTTAAGCGAAGGCTTATGCGGAGGCGTGAAGGCAATTAGTAGTCATCATGTCAAGGTCGTCAACGCCCAAACTGCATTCATTACTCGGTTTAATGGTCGCTATTTTTTGCAAAATCCTTCTACACTCTTCAGTCACAGGAGCTTCTAACAACACACTTTGAGTCCACTTTCCCTTGATATTATAGGGATTATATAAGTACATCTTCCACGAATTGTTCAAGGCAAAATCACTGAGTCGCTTGAATTTGCTGTTGTCGATGTTGAAAGTTAATTGAGAGCCATATTATATAGACAAAACGTATACTTACAGACAAAAACTCAGAAAGACATTTTGATACTCGTTGATGTATATCTTCTTCAGCAACTATTGTTCCTCATATAGAAGTGGCTAAGTCCGTAGGGGATTTTAGCCTGGATAAGATTTAGTCAGAAATTTTATTTCTCGCTGTTTCTTTACTGCTAAAGCAACATTTGAACAGACAAGAACGACTATGACGCGTCCTCGCATGCATGCGGTCAAATCTCGTACTCGTAGTCGCTGCTAAACTCCCTATATAGTTATTAGTATAGTTACGACCAAAAAGAAGCCAGGCTTTAAAAGCCTATAAGGTGTCCGTTATGTATTATGGTTTCACTTTATTTGGCAGCCATGCATCTTTAACACTAACATATATTAACAATATAATTACAACAGTTATATATACTAAGATTGTCTCTTTGTTTTCAGAACATTTCGGTCTTCTTGAGATTTTATTAAAAGCCCTAACAATCGCTGATAGTTGCGCAGACTCAGAGAGAAGGATATGGTTTTGAGATTAATTTATAAGCGAACCGGCAATACACCCTCCCTTGAGAAAAATTGTTGACTGCTCTACATTTGGAATTCTACGCAATGATTTCGTTCTATCAATAGCCATGATTGATACCTTGCATATTGGTAGAAACGATTTCATCGCAATAATTACATTCGCTTGGTTAAACATGACCGTTTTCTTATTCCTTGACCATGTACCTCACTGACAAATTTTAAAAATGTTCTCACCTGATGTCTGATATAAGATTAATATGCACAGCTTTGCCCACCAGTACCACATAATCGCCATTTATAAAACAATGTTTTAAAACATTGGTAGTCTGCTAGTAATTGACAATTATTTTGTCAGCAAACTGACTTGAAGGAAGTTGATTCGGTGGTTAAAAACGCAAGGAGAACCGGAGATCGCATAAAATTATATGCTATATATGGTCTGCTTCTCTTTTCTTATAGAGACAGAAGAGAGAAAACCTTTATTTAGCCATTGTTAATATAATGCGAGCGTTTGGAAGGCCGGCAAACTTAAAAAGATCATGCCCTCTTTCGTGAGCTGAATTCGATAGAGGGCATCACGTGACAGTTATAGTGCATCATGGGAATGCGCAATCGGACATCCGTCAAACCAAGGTGCCTTCGGAAATTCGCTACGAAGGTTGATTTCCGAACGCCGTAGATAGTCCCACGGGTTTCGCGTGTCAATATGCGTGAATGCTTGCGTGTAAACAATAAGAGCGAAGGAATTGAATGGCAATTTCACCAAACAGTCGGATTTTCTATCTTTAAACTTGAATGAAACTGGGCGAGAAAATACGTAAGAGATACGAGATACGTAAATTCCTTGTTCTGACAATACAAAAGAAGTATATACAATACTCTTTAACAGTTTTTCATATCTTGCTTATTTCTACAAATAGTTTGATCAAAAGGAATGAAATGTTCGTATTTACCACAAATCATTAATATTCTTAAGCGAAGGCTTAAGTTTCGGATACACGAGCAATATTTTTGTTGCGATGGTTACACAATAGTTGATAACGCACAAGGTGGCTCCCAATTTTCGCCAATCATTGCCAAAAATCAAATGATTTGAAATTTCGGCAATGATTGCGCGAAGCTTTGTGTTGCCGTCTGAGAGCATGATACACGATCAATTTCTCTCTCGCGACGACAATGCAACGATTTTACCAACGTTGCATTGCTGTCACAAGAAAGATATTGTCCGCGTGTATCCGTATCTTTATGCGGAGGCGTGAAGGCAATTAGTAGTCAACAAGGTCGTCGACGCCCTAACTGCATTCATTACTCGGTTTAATGGTCGCTATTTTTTGCAAAATCCTTCTACACTCTTCAATCACAGGGGCTTCTAACAACACACTTTGAGTCCACTTTCCCTTGATATTATAGGGATTATAGGTACATCATCTACGAATCTTTCAAGGCAAAATCACTGAGCCACCTGAATTTGCTGTTGTCTATGTTGAAAGTTAATTGATAGCGATATTATATAAAGACAAAACTTGTACTTA